CTGATACATGTGCTCATGATCATTTCCATCACTCCGAACTGGCCGTTCGTGCCGTCAAGGAACCGACTGCCGAACGTAATCGCAGGGGCAAGGGCCGCGATGAACCTTACTGCCACGATTGGACACTACCCAAGGAGAAAAAACTACACCTTCAGAATGCAACACATTTGAGAAATAAAAGCGCTGAAAATCTGGATATTGAAGGACCAAAGAACAGATACAGGATGGACGATACCGATTTTTGGAAGTTCTCCGGTGTGAAGGCATCCGTCCAATCACTGCAATACAACGGCGCCCGCCTGCGGATGTCGAGCCGCAGGCCCCCAGCAATTTTTCCAGTGAAGTCTAAAGGACCGTAATCCTTCTTGGGAGCATGCGCGATGTTTCCGGATTCGTAGCGGTACACAGCCTCGGCCTCGGCCATGACAGTGCTCTTGGGGCGTTGCGAGAAAGACGAAGGCAAACACGTTAACCTGGCGGCGAAAGACCTCGAGCCAAAGAGGCCGTGCAGTGATCAGGTTGTCTTTGGAACAAAGCTATCAACAGCACGAAAAAAACAGGCAAATGGGAGCTTGGCGATGGAGCGTTTCAGGTTACACTGCGCAACCGGTGCAGCTGCACAGGAGGGGCCTAGCCACATTACGCTTTGCAACAACACATTCAACACGCACTGAGATGTGGCAAATGTCTTGGTCACATTAAGATGGATTTCGCCATGCAGACGTTGTTCCCCATGTAGATGATCGATTTCGCAAGCACGCACTCCAAACACAAATCTCTGGCATTGCATCGCATCATAACCAGACATTCCCATGTAGACCCTCAGTTGATTCCCAAACATGTGCTCAATCACATCAAATCAAAACCTGCCATTCCCCACGTAGACAGACGTTCGACTTCGCGAGCGCACATGCGAGACGCACATGAGTGGCAAAAAAGCACATGAAAACCAGCATTTCCCCATGTATGTAGATGCTCGAAAAGGTTCGCAGATGCACACGCGAGACAACATAGTGGCAGCGAAACACAGCAAAAGCGTCTTTTCCAGGTAGATGTTCGATTTCGCAAGCACACCCGTGACTCACATCAGTGGCGTCGCAGCACAATGCGTCAACACAGCTGTGTCTGGATCTGTGTATATACAGAGCGCATGAGAACGCCCAACAAGGCATCCGAAAAGGCATCGCAGATGTGCCTGCGGTGTGGCTGGTGACGACAATCGATGCCGCATAAAGTAAGCAAACTGCATGGCCCACAACAGACAGCACGACTCCCGATGTAGATGCCACTTCTACCAACAACAACAACGAAAGCACAGCCAGGATAAACAACACGGTAGACGTCGTGTAGACAGACAGCATAACCCAGAGTCGCACCGGCACAAGCGGCTCCACATGTAAATTTCCGTACATGAAGCTTGGGCAAGCAAACTTCAACAATCTCAAGCGAACAGCGAACACGAAGCGCCAGGCAGATTCACTTTGATGGATTGCCCCTTGTGGTGTGGGATCCATCAGAGTCACGCGTAATCTGATCAAGGCTTGTCCCTGCAAGGCCAAGAGTTCTCGCAGTCTAAGTCTCAGACACACAGCAAAGGCGCGAAAGCCATCATAAACATTCACAGGCGAAGACTCAACACATGGTTCAGCTGCACAACATTGCACAACAAGAGCCTTCATAATTCCCAGCTTTTTCTGGGAACATGCTGATGTGCATTGTTTTGCCTCGTGCACCAAAACTGCGACGTCAAGCAGGTCGAGGTTGATTCTCCCGAATGGGAAAGCTTGCCTCTGGTAGGAGATGGTAGGAGTAATGATGACACATTCATCGACATCGCACGGCAACCGTCTGCTCGCAAGCCGGTCGGCACGCGACCTGGGTTTGCCTCAACAGGTTGCCTTGCACAGGCCGCAAAGATCGACTGATGGATGGCGTTCAATGATGTGTTCAATCTGAAGGTGCTTGTTGTGCACACGAGACAACACCCCGGAGCGTACGGCTACGCTCACTAGACTCACTAGCAGCTCTGCCTGAAGATGTCGACTCAGATACATGGCCCCGCCTGTACATCAGTTTCTGTAAAATTCCACAAGCTGGGTTCTTTGATTCGAGCACGTGTCAATGCCATGTTGCAGCTGGGTGCTGTGATCGCTTGGGCACTGCAAGAACCCAACGGCTCTCATCTTCAACCTCTCGCAGCTGTCGTCTCGGATTCCGGCGCAACTACATGGGCTAGTCTTATGTCACGTCAGCGTTCAAGGAGTCGCGGCACCGCATGGTCACGCGCATAACGTGAGGTCGCGGCAGGGGCCCAGAAGCGATGTGTATTTATCTAGGGAATCCCCAAGTACATAAGCCTGTTCGGGCGAAGCCTCAAAGCAACAGAAATCAGGCCCACGCGCTGGCAAACTGCAACCAATTTCGTAGATCATAACATGCGAGAACATTGGAATCCCCATTGACACGCGCCCTTCAGAAGCAGGAGCACGGAGGGTTTCAAGAAGGGTTTTCCACATTGCGGCAGTAGCAGTTGCATCCAGTAGACAAAAACACATGGTAACCAAGCTATTCCCCATGTAGACGCTCGATTTGGGAAGCACCTGCTCAAGACACACGTCGGTCGAATCATAACACATCAGAGCCAGCGCAGCAAATCCCCATGTATACGCTCGATTTCACAAGCACACACGCAAGACAAACATCAGAGGCATCACAGCACAACCAAGCCAACCATTCCCCATGTAGACGCTCGTTTTGAAAAGCACCCGGTGGCGGTGGCTCCGCCGGGACTTCGGCCTGGCCGGGGAATGTTTTAATTAGGCAGCTGGAAGGCCCAAACCTGGTCTAGGCTTAGCCCTGTTCGAGGCCCGCGCGAGGTTGTGCGAGATCCGCGCGATGCAGTGGCCAGAAACTCCGACATGTTCACTGTGCACGTGGGTAGACAACTGGCTCCCGAGCACTGCCTGGGAATCCCCGCCGGTTGGAGACGACTGCTATCGAATTGCCTATGAGCGTTTGCACGGTATCCCCATGTACACGCCCGCGAGGACCCTGCAACGGTTGATGTTTGGATGTATGCCAGCCCGGGCCCGGATTGCTTAACCCCAATGTCAACATGCATTTCCTCAACAAGATAGACGCGAGTTAAACCCTCCCCTCGCAGTAGCCGTAGTGTGCCCACGCTCACACGCAACGATTCCCGCAAGACGCAACGAATTCGGTCAACCCCTAGTACGGATTTTTATATTTGTTGAACGACGGCCTCTTCTCGCCAGATGTCTGGTGCGACTGCTATAAACCCATTCCATGCAGGGGTTGCGAGAAAACAAGGAGACACATGGAATGCAAAATAGCAGGATTGGTATGACAAGGATCCTCCAAAGGGACAACCCCCCCACCCCTTGAAGCATATATCCCTTTAACATTCCGATAACACCTTACGATGTTCCAATGGAACTCTTTAAAGCGCTATCTGAGTGCAGCCGGCAACGTTTTCGAAAAGGGTTTCTTGATGCCATCGATCAATGCTCAACAAAAGAGCCTACATGATTACTGGCACTGCCACTTCGAGTTCCCAATTAGAGATTATATACGCCGACAATGTATCCAACTCCTATTCTTATCGGTAAAACGCCTAGACTAGAAAGCCCTACATACCACCCTATAAAGCCGCATAGTTCGGCATGTAACCCTATACAACCTGGTAGAACCCTACAACAACCGTGTGCAACTTTGCAAAACCCTATACGAAGAACATTGTAAAACCAGATGTTATATAACCCTATTGAACCCCGTGGAGCCCCGAAGCATCTTACAAAAACCCTATGAAGCCCTATCCACACCTTTTAGAACCTTGTAAAGCCCTGCAAACCCATGTCGCACTCTAAAGAACTCTGCAAAATTTCATAAATATCTATAGAACCCTGGGTTATCGTCTAAATCTCTCCAAAACTCCGTAAAATCTTACCAATCTCTAAACCCTAAACCCTGAACCCTAACTGCAAACTGAAAACTTCTGATCTCCCTGCAATCGACTTGCCTCTCCGCGAGCTCCGCTACGCCATGTGGCGATGACATCCACAAGCAGAAAGGCCGGACCTTGCATGATCTGCGGTGTAGTGCTCTAGGGTTATTGGGTTTAGGATTTTGGATTAACGGGTCTAGGACTTTAGGGGTTCGAGGGGTTTATGGTTTAGGGTTAAAGCGTTAAGGGTTAGGGTTTAGGATTTTGGATTAACGGGTTCAGGCCTACGAACCTGCAGCCTGAGCGATCACCACGGACCATGCAGCGGCATGGCACCAGCAAGATCTGTTCATTTGAGAGGTGCAGGGTTTAGGGTTTAGGGTTTAGTGGTTTAGGG